CAACATGCCTCATTGCCAACACTCCACCAGAACCAGTCCAGGACTAATTATCTTAATCACGGGGCACCTAGGAGGGAGGATAAACTCGATCATAGCCCACGACCATGCGAAAGGATGCGGAAGATAAATGTGATCACCGGTACACACACATAGCGGATTCAAAACACAGCGGATTCAAAAATAAACATACTATTTCTGCTATCACGGGAATGCCTCTGCCTCAGCAACATCGTCTGACTCTGTAGGCCGAGGGGCTTTCCAACGCCAGGCCCGGACCAGCCGCGAACGTACATGCCCTCCATCGTTCTCCGAGGTTCCGCATTGAATTTCGGCATCCCGAAAGAAACCTTATCATCAGACAGGTCGTAAGACATTCCCCAGCATTGGAAGACAGGGCTGTCCGACCTCATGTACTGGGGCAGCCACCCTGCCGGAGGTCTTGAACGCAGCGGTGCTCGAATCATAGCCTAGGTCCAAGACTTGTGCACAAGGCATTTCTGCAGGATTCTGCTGCTGCATTCTTAGCATCCGTCGTGCTGGGCCGGGCCCTAAACTTTGTGGCAGAACTTCCACATCCCTGGCACCACGAGCATGATTGACCAAGCATTTGCGAACTCCATGCCTGCATTGAGACAGACGACAGGCATCTGCCTGTGTCCTAGCTTTGCTGCACGATAAGGCACTCTGGGTTGTGTCAGAGGTCTCGTAGCATGGACGGTAAGAACAAGGTTCAAAATGACGATCCACTGGTCCAGTCCAGTATAAAGCGGCTTGCTTGGCGACGACGCAAGGCTCAGTACAAGTATGATCCGGTTGTCCCAGCAGTTGTGGGATCGGACCTATGTGAAGCTTGCAGTCTGTGCGGCATACTTTCTAGGACCTTCAGTCGAGAACTACTAGCGCTTGATAACGATGCAGGCAATGTGGAACCCCAGCTGGAACCCCAGCCCTTTGAGCACAGATTCAGAGCTCCCCTTTCAAACACTGCCCAGATTGAGGGCGGGTCCAACGCACTTGCCTTGGCATGGTGCCAAAATGGGCTCCCTTGCTCTGGTCGCTTAAGAACAAGGAGGCGCCGTCGGCAGCAGCCTGGCTCCTCGGAGTCCGAATGCAAGCTCTGCAGAAACACTTTCAAAGCACCAGAGAAGATGAACGCCTGGCGCAACACCTTGTCAAAAACATCTGGGTGTCTCACGGACCTCGCTTGCCACGACCACTGGGCACTGAGGATGACCGTGAAAGAGCCTGTGATGGTAGAACGCAAAATGAGTAGCACTGGAACTCTAGGCTATGAGACCACCTCTGCCGGTGGACGTGCTGGACACAACGTGTTCGGCACAAGATGCGTGGCGGGCCTGCACTTCACAACACAAATGCCCAAAACGATGCACCATGGCTGTTTGGTGCCCGCCTTGACGGCTGATGCTTGAAGTCTACAGAAGCCAATCGTTGTCCTCACCCAATCTCGCCGGATGTGGCCAGGACATCCAGATGCATACTCATTGGTTGACTCAGCAGTACGAAAATTAACCCACACTGTGCAGAAACTTGAAACTGTGCTTAAGGCAACAAGTTTACAACATCGACTACGCCTTGTGGAAGACCGTCGACTCCGCTGCCGGCTGCTGTGCTACCTTTTCGCAAGTACATGGGTGCTTCCTGCATGTGCACCAGCACTGAAAGGAAACTACTCCTAGGTGACCTCAGCAACATCAGAAAGGCCCTTGCAAGTGGTGGAAATACCACCCGACACCGCACTGCTTTGCGAAGCAACGGGCACCAGCTGGCATACCTCGGGTTTGCACAGAAGACAAACATGGTCCTGGTGCACACAAACATACATGCGCTCCGAGGGCAGTAAGTCCCGCCTCCGGGGGTCCCATTTTTCGAGTACCCGAGCCTTGGTGATCAGCGGCTTTTATCATCAGTGAATCTGTATAGCAGAACCAGGTCGTCAATTGTACATGACAGATGTTTGCATCACATCAACGTTTCAAAACTAAGAAGGTTGCCCTCGACGTGATGCTCTGCATCTGTGTTGCTTGCGTCACATTCCATGTCGTAGATGTCCTGTGCAGCAATTGGCTCCAGCTGGAGGAGCCAGCGCATCAGTATTCATCACGAAGTCAAAACACCACATTCCCATAGCAGGGGCCAGCATTGGTAGGGGGGCCGTATGGGGTACCACCAACAACTGTTCGGCGTTCACCTGCCACCGTCGTGTTCCTACCCGTTCCTCCTATCCGATGCCTGCTGCCATGCATTGCCACATGAAAGATTGGCCGACTTTCAGCGAGAGCTTAAACAGTTGCTGGCTGAGTGAAGTTATTGTACAGCTTACAAAGCACTTCATGCGAGGGTAAACACCGCATCACTAAGCAGGTCCTGTCGCTTTAGCTGCCGAGTGCCGTGAACGCATGAGGACATGACAGCAGCAAGTACAGAAGCAGCCACAAAGCAAATCAAGTTTATAAGAACGACGATTTACTGACTGACACGGTCCTTGCCAATGACATCCATGCCGTCCGGCCGCCTCACAAAACAACACGGTTTGCCGCGCCATGCAGCGCATCCAACACTGCCTGTGCTTTCGCGGGGCTTCGCATAAAAGAGGTGATCCCACACGAGGATAAAACGCACCTGAAAACTGTCGAACGTGTGCGAACAGTGGGTGAGACTGCAGACAGGCCATTGGGGTGGTAGCCAAGTTTTCCTTGATCTGCCCGATCGTCCGCAGTTGTCCTGCTCCAAACACAAAAGTGTTTCCACCGCAAGTGGAAACAATTACGTCGCACGCTGACCTGAAGCCCGCACGTGTAACGAGCTTCCGCTGAAAACCGTCCTGCACCTGCGATTGCACAGAATCTGCGCGTCCACAGATGTGATTGCAACAGGACAGGACTGCCAGAAAAGCATGAACGACACTCTTGCAGTTGCTGCTCTACTGCCTGTGGGATGTCGCTCGCTTCCGAATTCTGCAAAGCCCGCTCACACCTCACAATACAGTGCTGGGTCTTTGCATCCCCGCACGGGTTCGTGGCGCCCTTTGAGTGCGGAGCCGCAAACGTAAAACAGAAATATGATCTAACCTCAGCCCAATGCATGCGACAGAAACAAAGTGGTAGAAAATCCTGTGTAAGCACACCTGGCACTAGCAGCATAAGAAGATTGTCGAGGCCACTTGTCACGTATGCATGTGCATCCCGGACAACATAGCAAACATAACAACCGCAGCGTCATGGCGTGGCACATTAATCTAAACATGGCTATACAGGTGTTCTTTTTTTTTGCAACTGCGAGTGAAGGGGGGTCCAGGTCCCTGTGCCATCTGCAGACTACGGCGGCGGGACGCCTATGCACCGGCAGGCAGGCGGCTGGGCGCAGGAG